TTAAAATAAAATTCTATACCGATATTGTCCAAACTTGGCACAGCATATGCTTAATCCGATTAAGAAAATGGACAGCTTTGGGCAAAATTGTCATATATCTCCCCACAAAAGGTCAAAGTTTTATATTAAAATTACATAAAGTTCAAGTATGGGATATTCCTATTGTGCAGAAATCATCAATCATTCTTGAACTACTCCGAGCTTTATAAAATTTCAAGGATCTATATTAACAAATATTTATATATATATATATATATATATATATATATATATATATATATATATACTTAAAGTTAAGTAACAGTTACAAAAGTGTTAAATTTGTTGAAATTAAGAAAAGTGAAAAGAAAAATTAAAAAAAGTGCTTACAACCATCCTTCGTTTAAAAACTAAGTAGTACATCTATTAACAAGTGTATATCAATAAGCCCATGTCTGTTTGTCCGCCAACCGGATAAAGTGTAATGGGTGGACCTAGGAGGTACTGTTTTAGGGGGTCATACCAAAATATGTACCTATGTTATCCCCTTTGGGGATTTTGATCTACTAATCGAATACTATCCACTTAGAAATTCCAAACCCACAGATTAACAGTTGCATAATATAAGAATTTTCGGATGATATGAATCCTGAAACATACTGTCCTGGGGTTGGAATTCTATTCAGGAGAAGTACCATTTAACATTGTATTGTGCACGAATTTAATTTTCTTAGTTTCACATACAGAATTCAAAATATGAAAAAATCTCATGCGATATAAAAATTACGAAAAATTAAGTAGAATATAACATTTTTGTTGGCGTATTTTTGTGCGATTTTTTTCTACCTTTTCTACCAAGAAACCATTCCGAAATGGTGCGAATTGGCAAAATCAAATTATTCGCCCTAAATATATTGTAGATAGATAAGGACTCATTTGGGTTCGATAACTCGTTGAGGTTAGGTTCGGCCACCGTTGTCTAGGACGTTTTGGGTGGATCAAAACTCCTTTGGGTTCAGCAGCTCACTGTGGGTATGTTCGGACTTAACTATTCGGGTCATCTACAATAGCTAAGCTACCTCTACTCCACTACTAATGCTTAACTATGATAGGAGACAGTTAGCCAAAACCCCTAAGTAAATGAATTGCTGGCCACTCATATTAATGAGGGCCCATCTTGGAAAAGGTATTCCCAGCTAACGCCTTTGTTAGTCGGAGGACGGCAGATGATTCAACAAATCACTAGCCTCTCTCATCGTATCCCAAACCGAACACTATATGTAACCGGTACGACCAAGTAAATGAGAATTATTCACCTTATGCGGTCAACGGCATATCACCGAAAACTAATTGTTCATTAAGCGCCCAATGAATACTTTGGCTGTGGTTGATGAAATGATCACGTTACAGATGCGTAAATAGGATATTTGCTGGTGAGCATTCTCCAGAAAATCAATTTTGCCTCCTCGATTTGATATTGCCGATTCACAGTACTATTGAGAAAGATATAGAAAATATGCTAACCCTGTGAAAATACCTCTGTTGTTATTATATCTTAACTACATAGTTACCAATTTTGACTGATTTAAACAGCTAAAGCAATATGCAAATTTTTGGAAAGGTCTATGGAATAGAATTTTGAAACCATAAATATTTTTGTATTTTTCAAAATGTTATTTGTCATTCGTAATCATGGCTCTGTCATGGGCTGTTACTCTATGTATTGTAGACACAAACCGTTTGGTCTTTGTCTTTGCTATTGATATGGGTAGGACTTAGCGACCCAAATTATATTTCTTTCAATTACTCGTTTAAGAGGATATGTGTAAAACTACGTACTTATATAGATACCCATAGTATAAAATGGACAACACAGTGGATATAAATAAGGTTGTGCGATGAAATCAAGTCACTACGTCAACACTGTTTATTCAAACCGTTCGCCTCAAACTATATTTTATCATAAATCTGTCTTAAAACAAAATGATGAGTGAGAAGGAAGTGGAACTGCTTAAGAAACGAAACTATCAAAAAATTAAAGAATTGATAAGAATTTCATTAGGACTTGGAATCAACATAACTTCTCCGTCCAAATTAAAGGACTCCCTGAAAATTTGAGCTATTGACACTAATGTCAGGCATTCATGAAATTTGGAAACATATGTTATATGCCAAATAAATTCTAAATCATACAATTACATTTTGCCTCCTCGATTTGCGAAGTGTAGATTTGATTTGATCTAGTGACGTAAGTGGGCTTAAAGCTAAGATTAGCTTTTATGGAGCTTGCAGCTAGCTGTTTCCTACCTACTACTTCAATTCGCTAGCTCTGGTCACTCAACAAACTCTGTGATGAAATGAAACCAATAGGGTGGATGAATTTAGTGTAGGCAGTATTCATACAATAATTTCGAATATGTAAATTTGTGATCAAAATAGGTAGGAAATAGATGAAATATGGTTGTGGGAAATTAATGGTTATGTGGGGATAGAAATATATGCAAGGGTCACGTAACTACGAGAGCGGTTCGGAAACTTCTTAGCCTATCAATGACAGAGAATAGTTAGTTATTACACAATATTTTTATTTTTCAATATAATCTGAAACTTCAATACACTTAGTCCATTGCGTTATTTTGGCCCATTTCCATAGTGATCGACACTTTGGTATTTTTTAGTGCCAACTTTGCTTTCCAAAATACTCCAGACACAATAGTCCAACGGATTGGTATGCAGAGATTTTTGTGGCCATTGTGCGCTGGATATGAAACGAGGAACCTCATTTTGTAACCATTCTTGTGTGGCACGTGCTGAGTGCGATCGTGTTAAGTCCTGTTGGAATGTACAAGGTCTGCGGCCAAAATGTTTGCGCGCCCAAGGCTGTAATACACCCTCAAGAATATTTTCGCGATAATATTCGGCATTTATTCTGTCGATTAATACGAGCGGAAAGCGACCATCGGCTATTATGGCGGCCCTCACCATCTCACCATGGCCGGCGCTTGAGTTCTGTTGGCCAACCGAATGTGCGCATTTTCAGCTGACCTCTTTGGCAAGTTAACACGATCATTTTGTTTGTTTACAAACTGCTGGACAACGAATGTTTTCCCATCGGCGAAAACCAAATTCGGCAGTTCACCACTTTCAGCCAAGCGAAGAAACTCTTTAGCTCTTTTGAGTTTATTTTCTTTCTGTTGCGATGTAAGTTCTTGCACTTTTTGGAATTTCAATGGCTTTACCCAGAGCTCGTTTTCAATATATGCCTAATGTAATGTTGCGATATGTCAAGCTCGCGAGCCTTTTTTCGGCCACTGCGACGCGGGTTTCGATCAAGTCGCTTCTTTACTTTTCGAACAATTTCTGCTGATGTTGCTGCTTTCTTCCGTCCACTTCCTTGATGACGGGCTGCGCTACCATTACCACGGTAACGAGGAAGATTTATTCACATTTAAATGCTGGGGTGCTCTAACGATAGCCACTTGTGGTTTTCCAGCCAAATATAAAGAAATCACGCTTGAATTCCATTACGAATAACTTTTTTTCTAGAAAATTTTGACCAAAATGATTTTGTACGCTTGTAAACAATATAATGAGCTGCCACTCGAATAATTTTAACAGCTGTCGGACGAGTGGCTTAGAAATGACAGCAGTCTGAAAATGGTTGCCGTTTTTCATCGCACCCTGTATTGCTGCCATATCTGAACCGATTTTCAGAAAATCATTGCTCCTAGACTGAATTCGTATAGGGCAAAATCGATCTGATCTAGGCTAATGTGATTAATTTCATGATCGCCCAACTAGGAATTATAGGCCTAGCTCCTTTTGGCTGTCTCAATAGAATCTTCAGTGTGTAGTGTGTAATTTATGAGGCATTTTGTTAATATTCCTAACTATTTGAGATCGTCTCGCTGTATTCATATCTGGAGACATTTTTTACAAATAAAAACATTAATTTGGAAGTAACTTTTTTATATTTTTCGAGTTGTCGATACGTCATTCGAGGAAGTCATTGTAACAAAAACCCAAATTGGATTTCCTTTGAATCGAAAACCAAATACACTTTCTCATTGCCTTAGAAAAACAGACCATTCAAATATTTTAAACGCAATCGAAAGTATTGGTTATCCTACGCCGGATTCTCCTCGCAATATGTATTTTGAGAAATTTCTGGTCGATAAACTCGTCTTACCATATGACGTCATACTTATTTTACAAGTAAACGTCATATTACTCTTAAATACTTTTGGAAGGTTGGTAAATCAGACAAAGCATCGTATTCCTGGCGAGTATGATATGAAGTCTCTATAATTCTTGATCCGAATGTTATTGTAATTTAAGAAAAATGCTCAATATTTAATACACATACCAGGTCAATGTTTTCACTTACAGGGTTGCACATATTCGACGAACCCATCTGGCAACGCCATAACTTTTGACAGAAATGTCACATCGCTTAATGACATACCGCGTTTGAAGCGTCAGTCCAAGCAGATTTTTACCATGAACCAATACACGCCACGCGAGCGCTCTGAAATAGTTGAAATTTACATTCAACAGAAGAAGTCAATTGTGAAAACTCAACGTGCTTTTAAAACGGATTATTCGCATTGATTTGCATTTGTTCCCGTACAAAATTCAATTGACGCAAAGAAGAATTTGTTTCCGGGCTGTTTGATGTCGAAAAGTGGTGATTTGGACTGGCCACCGCGTTCGCCCGATTTGACGCCGCCTGACTTCTTCTTGTGGTTTACGTTAACAAGCCAAGGACCGTAGAAGAGCTCAAGGACAACATTCGTGAAAAAATAGCCGCTATTCCGGACGAAATGTTGGCAAAAACGATGGAAAATGCAGCAAAAAGGGCACAATACGTCATCAACGCCAGAGGCGGCCATTTGAGAGATATCATATTCAAAAATTGATGTAAACAAATCTACTTGGAACAAATTAAATGATTAACATTGCCAACCGCCAAATTTTTATTTTTTTTATTTGATTTAAAAAAAAACATGGGTCCCTCGAATATGGGCAACCCTGTAGATCTTGTTTAACTTCGAAAAAAAGGCCTATTCATAATATATTATTATTTCAGAATAAACATTATTTTGGTCGTTTCGAGCGTAATTTCCTTCTATGGCCATTGGTGTTATACGATTGAGAGTATCAAGGATATACCAAAAATTGCAGAGGTAAACCTATTCACGTCTTTCATTAACTATTAAACTTAAGTGAGTAAACTTTGTCATCTTACAGAGTGTTTGCACTGGATTTCAAACACTTATTTCGGTAATCAAAATGGTTTACTATCTCTTCATACAACGCCGTCTATACTATTTACTGTACAAGGCCCAAACTCATGAATATATTAGGAAAATTGACATTTTCCATAAGAGTAAGAATAAAATTCATTTTTTGTAATTATGTGCATTTTTTAATACTGTTTTTGAAAAGATTTTCCCATGTCTGAGAGGCTGCAGGCAAAAATTGATGAAATCCTTGATGCCAGCTGGAAGAACATAAATGGCCAATTGATATTCTACATCTGTTGCTGTGCTGCCATTATAAGCAATTACTTCTTCATGGCACTGTTTCAGAACATATATCATACCTGGAAGGAAACACCGAATTATGAGTTTGTTCTCCGTAAGTATTTAAATCGAAACTGTATCGAATTTACCTATTGTTACTGATTCGATCGGATAGATTGACATGTTTGAAGCTCTTAATGCGCATCTGATTTTAAAGAAGCCTGTTAGTGTTTATAGCCTCCACCTTGAAAAGGAGGCTATTTTAATGTTATCATTCCGTTTGTAACATCCGTAAGTATTCATCGTAGATCCCATAACATATATTTAATCAGCATAAAATTCGAAAAATTCGATCTGTCTGTATGTCTGTTGAATCACGATACAGCCCACATATATTTGACGTAGAGCTTCACAACGGTTTGTATAATGAGATATATCGGTCCACGCTTTCGATAGTAATATTCAATAGTTTGATGATTTTTGTCGCATTTTTCCATGGATTTGTCAAAAAATTAGTATTTGTAGTTCATAACAGGTTCTTGCTCCGGTGGCAGAACATTGATAAATAGGTCCACGTTTTCCTATATCGCACACATAACGATATCCACCGATATTCCGTATTCTGATAAACCTAGTCACATTTACCCACGAATCATTTCAAATTTGATATTTAAGACTTGCAATAGATAACAGTCCTTGTAGCATAAAATTCCCGTTTTGATATGACCCCATATAACGGTTCAAAATAAGTCAAATCACAATAGTTCAAAAACTACTGAGTTTATTGTCAAACTGTTGTCAAAAGTAGTCTTCTTAACCGACTTTATGTAGGCCTTAGACAAAAGCATACATATGAATAAACTCATCCAAACATATAATCAACGTGAGTAGGGTATTGAAATTTGATCTCTTTATCGAACATTTTCATATTATCGGCACATACGAACAAAATCCAACTAAATTGCCAAAACACAAAAAAATACCTCAAAAAATTATCAAAGGTATTTTTGGCTGTGTCTAATATCTTGTACTGATGTCACTATTATAGAATGACCTGAGGGGCTAAAAAGTCAAATCGGGTGAAAATGGAAATTGATTCAGATTAAGATATAGCTCCCGATTTATACTTACTGGCTTAATATATGTTTTATCCAAATTTCATAATATCCCTATCTTTTCCATGAGAGTCGTACCTACAATTTGCGAGCAACATTTTTGTAGAAGATTTTCATGTCGAAAAATCAATTGTTTGGTACCTATCTTCCGGTTAAACAAAATGAAGGACGAAAAGGACATAGAAATAACCGAGTTCCTTTTGAGTGCAGAGATGTCATTTCAGAAATAAGCTATACAAGCTGCTAGCGATTGTATGAAGCACTTCAGAGCCACACGCCAGAAATTCTTCACAACATATCTTGGGAGTCCTATTCACATCGAATCTGTCCTTCCTCGTTCTTCATATACGACCCAAAGCCTTTCGTGGCCAAAATGAGTTGTACAACTCCTAAAGACCATTTTGTGTTATTCATATCAATATCTTAAAATTTGACGTTCATATGAGTCAAAATGGTTTCAGATCGATGGAAACTTCATTGGCTCGATTTATGCATGTCCGTCCGTCTGTCTGCCTGTCTGTCCACGTATTTTTGTAAACAAAGTACAGGTCGCATTTATTGCGCGATCCAGATGAAAATTTGCACAGATCATTTGTTTGGCCCAAGGACGAACCCTATTGATAATCGGTCTAAATTTAGATATAGCTCCCATATATATCTTCGTCCGATTTGCCTCTTATTGTGTACCAAACGTGTAATATCAGCCCGAATAGTATGGAATTTTGCATATACATCCAAATTAGGCCTAAAAATAAGTATGCCAAATTTGATCGAAATCGGTTCAGATATAGCTATAGCTCCAATATATATTGTTCATCCGATTTGTTATTTTTGCCTTCCGCAGCCGTAATATGCACTCTGTAACAATAATATTTGGGGAAATATATCAAATACAGCTCAGAAATATCTTTGCTAAATTTTATCGAGATCGGTTCAGATTTGGATATAGCTCCCATATATAACTTCATCCGATTTACCTCTTATTGTGCACCAAACATCTAATATTTGTCTAAATGGGATGGAATTTGACATTTAAAACCTAATTGAGTCTAGAAGCTAGTATGCCAAATTTGGTGAAGATCGGTTCAGATATAGCTATAGCTTCCATATATATTGTTCATCCGTGCACCAAATGGGCAACACATGTCCGAATTTAAAAGAGACAAATGCTTCGGCATATTTAGTCCTTTGAACTTTAAATAATAATTATAATCACAGCTTGTATGATTGAATTCTCCCATAAAAACTTTTAATTGTTAGGTGGACCTCTACTAAATTAGCAAAGTGGTGTAGGGTATCATAAAGTAGGCCCCGCCCGATTTTAAGACTTTCTTTACTGGTTTATATTTTATTTTTGACTTCGAATATTAATGCCAATTTATTTAATTGACTTGATTTCTTGAGAACTGAAATTGATGGCGGGTTACGAATTATGTGGTGGCGAAACGGAATAGATGATTTCGAAATAATTTAATGCGGTCACACCAAAGTTAAAAGATAATTACTTTTTCGAAATCGCTAAAAAATTGCAAAAATTCTCAAATCGGGAAAAAATCGAAAAAAAAATTTTAAATGGAATCTAATTTTAAAATAATAGTAAATTTTTTTGACAAACTTTGTAAAAATCTTTTAACATTTGCTGTAAAAAATCAGCGAACAAGTTGAAGATTTTTTCAATTTGTTATTCTTCTTTTGTCAATTTTTTTCAATTTGTATTATCATATTGAATTCAGTGGATTTTTTATGAACAAAATAAAGAATAATTTTTCACTATATACAATTTTTCACCAAAAAAATTAAATAAGTGCGATATACGATGTTAACTGACATCTACCTTTCAACTCCAAGGCCTACATCGTGGTTCACCTGGAAGATGCGAACACATTTAAACAAACAAAAATGACCGAAAAAGCCTAATGGGGCTCGTTTAAAAGCGTGGACCTACTTCTTTTATGTGACAATAATCCGTCCAATGAGAGCTCAAAATGAAAAATTCTTTGGGAGTACAATCAGTAAAACGCAAATTTAAAGGGTGCAAAATAGTAGAGCGAATGGGACTTTTAATAAGAAAAGGATTTCTATCCTTCCAGAAATTCTTTCTAAACATTCAGGATACCTTAAATCGCTTTTGCAGGTCATGATATCGATCATAACTCACGGATAAGGGTACAACCCGATTTCATATTTATATAACCATCGTATAATTTAAGCTATTTTTGGGGTCTTGGCCACTTTTTTCATATTTTGGCCCTTATTTGGCATCTTTGTTTTTAAGGAGGTAAAGAACCTCTTCGCATAAAATTTTAAATTTTCAGAGTAGGGCCCATATTGGTCTTGAACACATTCATCAATTGATTTGGTTAAAAATTGTATTTATGCCACCATGGAGTATGGAACCACCATACAGATAATTGCCCCATAAGAATTTATTTAAGTAAAGTTCCCATTGGAGTATCCCCAAGTCCACTTTCACATCTTAAGTGTGGTTAGAAAAGAAAATTTTGTATTCTATTGAATTTGTAACCCCCAAGAGAATATTGGTTGGGCTACGTTTTGGTATAACCCTCATATGAATATATTCTTGATTTCAGCTATGGCCGTGATCTTGGCCACGTTTTTCAACTGATTTGGCCTTTATTTGGCATCTTGGCTTTTCTATTTCGAGGGTCTTGACCAAATTTTCCAATTGATTTTGCAGTATTTAGGCTACTTTGTGAGTAGAGAACCATCTTACATAAAAATTTTAACATAGGTAAAAATATTGGTACAGTTCCCATATAATCCCCAGGGCCGCCGATTGGCGGACAACAACATGGGCATTGTTGATTCGCCATTGAATTTTACTATGAACAAGAACTTAGACTTCTTGCGGACTCTAAAGCGCAATCTGAGATGCTATTGTAATTATTTTGCCCTCCTTCCATAGGTATTTATTTCTATTTAGTCGGATCAATATTTATGTTAAACTTTGTTCACCTTTATGAGCCAGATTTGTGAAATATTATGCTATACAAAATTTACATTAAAGACTAAAACTACGGGCCGGCAACGCGGACCGGGCCAGCTGGTTTTATATAAAAAAGCTTTTGTGTTTTCTAGAACATATGATAAAAACCAACTTTAATTGTTTGCCCTTGAGATGTGTGACATATCATGCCTAGATAAACATTTACTACATTCTTACATACAAATTCAACAGACATATTTTAAAAGTGGGATTTCGATTGGACCAAAACCCCACTAAAAGTGGAAACTGTGGCCTACACAATGTATGAATAAAGTGATTGGCATATTATTCCTCGAAATCGTAGGTGGTTATACATGTCTTGCATAAACTAAACGTGGGAGTACGACTGAACTGGCGTGTTTTCTATAAGCTTCGTATTTATTTGACTCCCAGAACCAAGAATTACTTTAGAAATTTCCATAATTCTGCACAATAAGTTTGAAGATAATATGTATTTTTTAAACTTTACAGATTTTAGTTATTTTTTACCCTCCTCCATACTATAGAGTATATATTAATGTTGTAATTTCATTTGGAACTCTATGTTAAAAATCTAAACCGATTCTATTACAATTTTTCGAACGAATTGAATTGTAAAACTAAATTTTGTAGAAATTAATACTTTCTCAGCAGGCAGGACAATTTCGTAATAAAGTATTGTGGGTATTGATATGATATATGATATGACCAATTTCACTAGCATTTATAGTTCATGGAGCCCATCCGAGTATTGAATGCTAATGTTTTATTCCCTGCAACATATTGTGTTGGGGTATTGGTAGAATGGGGCTACGTTTTCTAGATAATTGATGACTAAAACAAAGTAATTATTGTCTCTATAAAGTAATTAGGGGTCTTAAATCGGAATAATTTATGTGGATTCGGTAGCCGGGGTGAAATACAGGGGTTCAGTGATCGTGTTTACTTGCCAAAGAGGTCGGCTGAAAATGTTCACCTTCGGTTGGCCACCAGAACTCAAGCGCCGGCCATGGTGATGGTGTGGACGCCATAATAACCGATCATCGCTCTCCGCTCGTATTAATCGACCGTGGCATCTGAATAAATGCCGAATATTATCGCGAAAATATTCTGGAGGATGTATTAAAGCCTTGGGCACACAAACATTTTGGCCGCAGATTTTGACATTCCAACAGGCACCATCGCACTCAGCACGCGCTACCCAAGAATGGTTACCACCAAAATCTGCGGATACCAATCCGTTGGACTATTGTATGTGAACACTTATATCAGTCATATCTGTGAATAATTATGCTTTGACAAATATGCATAATAGACAAAAACTACGGACCGGCAACGCGGGCCGGGCCATTAAGTATTTTATATTTGTCTTTGAAATTTTTAACAAAAGTTTTTTCGCTAAATTTCAGCTTTCCCATCTGTGTATCCCTCGTGGAAGGATAAGGGCATGTCATTTCCCTACTATCATATTCAAATGTTCCTCGGCACTTGTTCCTGTTATATCTCCGGAATGTGTAAGTTTTATTATTACGATTACATTATTGGAGAATTCAAATTGACTTTTGAAATGATTTAAAGGTGCTGTAAGTTTTGATGGCGTTTTCATTGTTCTTTCTGTACATGGCGTTGGTCTTGTCAAAGTACTGAATATGCTAATTGAGAACTCAACGTCTGCAGATGTGCCCAAAGAGAGACGGGTAGAATATCTACGATATTGCATTTATCAATATCAGCGGATTTCTGAGTACGTTTTATTCAAACCTTATTTGAGGGTTAACATTTTATTGTTACTGATTTACTCATTTATACAGCTACACAGATGAGTTACGCAAAATTTACAAGCATATCAGTCTGACCCAATTCCTATTGAGTTTGTTGGTTTGGGGAATAGTCCTATTTCAAATGAGCGTCGGATTGGTGCGTACTCTATTTTATTGAATTTTTGTAGTTAATGTTTATTTACTTTGTATTTATTTATTGTTTTCAGGAGTCCGACTTAATGACTTTAGTGCGAATGATAATGTATATCTCAGCAGCTGGCTATGAAATTGTCCTGTACTGCTACAATGGTCAACGATTAACTTCAGAGGTAATATTTTTTTAGTTTATAATAAAAAATATATAAATTCCCATGATCCTATTAGCGTAAGTACAAGTGCACTATTCGCGTGGCTACGTTCAGTTGAGGCATTGCTTACATTTTCCCAATCAGTCGATGAGAATCGCATTTGCAGGGAAGACCTTGCTAGGCAATTATATTAACTATTTGACTCAAAACAATTTTTTTCACTCGAATCTTTTGTATTTAACGAAATTGTTTTTAATTTGGTTTTTATAATAAACTACCAAGTGTCCGCGAATAGCCCACCTTTAAATTTTAGAAAGGGAACAAACAAGCCAACACTTTTCTATTAATAGACAAGGCACGGTCGACGAAGGGGTTTTTGTTGTGAGAGACAAAACCAACTTACATGGTTATGCTACTTCGTTCATGTAAAACGAAAGCATAACAAGTGGAGAAAGATGAAAATGTTTATTAGTGTGGTTGTAGGATCTAGAAGATTTTCCAAAAGTGTTCACGGATAAGTGAACATGTTTTTATAATAAAAGAGAATAGCGGGGCTACCTAGTGTAGATGAGAGGGATTTGTTAAACTGGGATCTTCTTAATACAGTCCACATGAAATAAGATAAGAAAATGTGGTGAGCAGACCTTCGAGTTAGAAATAAATAATACAGAATTTTCAATTGCTGCATGTGTTATGGTGGAGTTAGATTATGGGATGTAATCTTTACTCAGACTGATAAGCAAGTGCAGCATGTTTGCTTGCCACATGTGAGATAGCTATGCGTGTGTATGACCTCCCCCTAAGGTTTATGGTGGCATGGTGCATATGCATGTGTACGGTTGGTATCTATCTCTCTCTCTCTCTCATTTACAATTAGTTATAATTTAGGTTAAGTCATATTATCACAGCTAGTTCTTAAGAAATGTTTTTAATAAATAAATTCAGTGTCTTACAAACGCTCAAACGGAAAAGACGTTTGGTCTTTTAATTGATCCCAATTTACAAAAAGAATTTTAATTTTTTTAATTTTTCTGTTCCGTTTCTATTGAGCTTTCGATCTCGTCACTTGGGTAAAAAAAGTTTTTTGTCATAGAAGTTATTTTTAATAACTTCTGGGGAGAATATCCCTGATGAGGATCGGTGGTTTACCCCCTGATAAACATTGCCATCGTTCTCCACTAATAAACAACAATAAAGGGTTTAAGCCTGACAATTTGGCAACAACAAAATACTATGGTATCCCGAACAAACAAGTCAACATAGTTCCACCAGTTTATTTTAGTACTCAAAATGCACAATTGTTCCTTCTTTCCTGGACAAAATTAAAAAAAAAAAAAACTTCATACCAACTTTTTAGCTGCCCCATTTCGATACACTTTATTCTTACTCAAGTTTTTATACCCTCCACCATTTTATGTAGCTTATATATTGTCTTTGTTATTCCGTTTGTAACTCCTCGAAATATTAATAATAGACCCCACAAAGTATATATATTCTGGTCCGTCTTTCTGCCTGCTTGTAATCATGCTATCTTTTGAACGAATGGAGACAGAAAGCTTATTTTGAATTCATGCATAGTTTACCAGTAGGCAGGTTACATTCGTAAATGGGCCATGTGGGTCCCCGTTTTCGTATAGCCCCCATATAACAGTACCTCCTGATGTTCGGTATTTTCATAATTTTAGCGACATTATTTACCGCAATTATTTCAAATTTAATATTTAAAATTCGTAATGGGTACTACAGTCTATGACAAAATATTTCGTATGCAGGTCCACGTGCGAATTCCGGGAGGCACCGTTATATGGGGGATAATATAACGGTGCCTCCCCGAATTCGGTATTTTCATGATTTTAGCGACATTATTCACTGGAACTGTTTCAACTTTCGTATTTGAAGTTCTTAATGGGTACTTCAGACTATGACAAAAAATTTCGTAAGCAGGTCTTCGTATAGTCCCCATATAACGCTTTTCATTTAAGTGATAGTTTTTGATTTTTTTTCTGAAATTTTTTAAATTCCTCCCAAATAGTGGAGGGTATTAAAAGTTCAGACCGACCGAACTTAGCTGCTTTTTTCGAACTTTTCGAACATTCATAATACGCATTCCACAATCCACCTCAGTCTCTTAAAACTATATACCAGCAGAAATTCCAGCTCTATTCTAAAATGCAATTCCTAAATATTGACATACTTTTCGTCCAAGCTACCTCCTCCTCTCAATCATCAATATCAAATATCGGAATTTCAGCAAAATTCCTTCACACAATACCATGTCCAAAACTACCTCCTTCTCTCAATCATCAATATCAAATATCGGAGTTTCAGCAAAATTCCTTCACGCAATACGAAATTTAGTATCATATAGTATAATAATAGTACACATTTCCAGAACCACCTAAAGTTCGAATCTCCAAAATTCCTTTGGTGCATCTATCCTCTATCCTGACTCTCATTCCAAATCCTAGCTTATTCTGTTTGTCCATATAAGGTATTCTATTTTTAGTATAATTTGTACCCTTTTTCAAAAACTCTTCTATATATATAGAATATGAATTGTTCGTTTGTCTGTTGAAATCAAGATATTTATAGCCCATATTATTAGCGTAGAGCTATAAAGTTTGATATTAACATTCTTGTTGTTCTGGAACAGACCAATTGTACCTCTATTCATTATTTGTTGCTTAAAAATTCGGTAATTTAAGTTTGTAATGGGCTCTAACTTCAATTGCAGAACATTGACTTATAGGTCAGCGTTTTCCTGTAGCCCTCTCCCGATGTTCGGTATTCTGATGATTTTAGCCACATTTTTCTACAAAACTGTTTCAAATTATTTTAGTTCGGTGTCTGAAACTCAAATTACTTGGTACTTGAAACTCACAATAAATAACCAGTCAAGTACCTGAAATTTTAGACTTAGCCCCCCAATAAGAGTGAATCCTCCAAACAATTTTACTGGCATTTGCAATTTACATTTTTTATTATTATAATTCATTTATTTATTTTTTCAATAAAATGCAAAATATTTTCCTATTACGAGTGGTAGTTTAACAAACTATCTTTTATTTTCGATACCAGTTTTTATTTGCCTATCTCAGTTAAACCAATTTTATTTGTCTTTTCTGGGACGTTGACATATGTATATAAAGGAAACTTGATTGAGATCTTGAGGAAGCATTATCGGTGATGTTAGTTGTTATGTATTCCTCTAATAAATTTTTAAATAAAGTCAGCCGCGGCAATTACTTAGCTCAGAAAAATGGTTTTATAATTTGTTCATGTTATTTTAGGCAGTTTAGACTAACTATATGTTAACATAAAAACAGGATTTGGACTAAAATTGTCATATCCATTATTTACACTTCAAACAAATCATTTTAAATCAGGTTAACCCCAGAAAAAGTTCTAACATAAGCATAGCATAAGATTAAGTTAAACATAACTTTCCAATTTCTCCCACACAGTGCGAAAAAATTCCATATGCTTTCTTCAGCTGCGATTGGTTCAATGAATCCAAGGAATTTCAGGAACTTACCCGTATGATGATACTTCGCTCCAATCGAAGTTTCTTCATGGAAATATCTTGGTTCACTACTATGACCTTGCCGACACTAATGGCCGTAAGAATAAAACCATAAAAATTTATCAAATATTTTAAATTATGTTGTCTTTTTTTTTTTAGATGATTAAAACAAGTGGATCGTACTTTCTATTGTTAAGAAATGTAGCAGAATAAATGGATACTGTTATTTTAAATTTCATTTGCAAGTTACCAAGTCATAGATTAAGGATTATAAATTGGCATTATCAATTGACATTTGAAAAGGAAAAACACAATCAGTAAAAAAAAAATTTCAATTTGTTTATTTCAATCAATCACAGAAAATCTATATTACAGTTATTATTTTCATTATTATGAAAAATCAAGTTTTTTTTATTAAAAATTAAAATCTTATAATAGTGGGGGCAGACATTTAAAGAAAACAAATCTAATTATCAAAATTGTTATTCTTCATGCTTTATGCAATTTTTCTCAATTTGCAACGCTAAGGTGTAAACCGCCATCTATTTATGCTTTTCAGAACTCGTTAAGTTGGTGCTAATCGAAGCTCTCGCTAGATGTCACCAGCATGCATTTTTTTATTATCTTAAAAGCTTTATGAGGGCACCGAACCTACAAAGTTCGCAACAGATGTCGCGTAAACAATTTATAGTATCAATTGCTAACAGATGACGCCCCAAAAGCTTTTGTTGGCGTCATGAAAGAATAAAAATGGGACAACAGAGTCAAAATAACATTACTAATTGCTTATATTACACAAAATGCCAACTAAAACAAGTAAAGACAGCCTAAAAGTCGAGCGGGTTGGATTTAATGATACAATACACCCCTTTGTATATTTAGTAAAACTTCATACAACAAATAAAAAATATAACAAATCGGATGAACAATACACATGGGAGCTATAGCTATATTTAAACCGATTTTCACCAAATTTTGTCATACTTGTTTCTAAGCTCAATTTGGTCGTAAGTGCCAATGTCAGACCCAACAAAGTATATATATTCTTGATCAGCGTAAAATTCTAAGACGATGTCCGTCTGTCTGTTGTAATCACGCTATCTTTCGAACAAATTGAGATAGATGGCTAGACTTTTGCACACATGTTTATTTTGCCAGTATGCAGTTCATAAATGGGTCATGTAGGTCCACGTTTTCATATAGCCCCCATATAACGGTACCTCCCGATATTCGGTATTTTTATGATTTTAGAGACATTGCTCACCGGAATTATTTCAAATTTGGTATTTGAAGTTCTACAGCCTGAGACAGAAAATTATCTGTGCAGGTCCACGTCTTCCTATAGCCCCCATATAACGGTACCTCCCTATATTCGATAGTTTGATGATTTTAGCGACATTATTCACCGGAATTGTTTCAAATTTTGCGTTTGAAGTTCGTAATGAATACTACTGCCTAAAGCAGAAAATCGTCTATGCAGGTCCACGTCTTCCTATAGCCCACATATAACTGTACCTCCCTACATTCGGTATTTTAATGATTTTAGCGTCATTATTCACCGTAGTAATGGAAACTGCAGTCTGTGACAGAAAATCGTCAATGCATGTCCAGGTCTTCATATAGGCCCTCCCTATATTCGGTATTTTGACAATTTTGGGTACAATACTCACCGAAACTGTTTGAGATGTCGTATTTGAAGTTGGTAATGGAAGCTACAGTCTTCGTATAGCTCCGATATAACGGTACATCCCTATATACGGTATTTTGACGATTTTAGCTACATTATTCACCGTTTATTTCATGTTTCGAATTTGAATATAGTAATGGCTTGTGAGAAAAAATGCCTATGTAGGTGCACGTCATACAGACCCTAATATAACGGCTATATTCGTTATTTTTAAGATGTTAACAGAATTTTTGGCGAATGTTATATTTTTCCAAAATTTCCAAATTCGTTCTAAATGGTGAGGGTTATTAAAAGTTCGGTCCGAACTTTGCTGTTTTTACTTACTACTTACTCACACCTCACTGTGGTAGAGGGTAATTTGTCGTTGTGCATTTGTTTGTAACAGGTAGAAATACGCGAGATAAACCCTACTTTTTTGGATGATCTTTATAAAATCACGTTCTGAGTCCGTTTATGCATGTCAGTAAGTCTGACCGTTTGCCCATGTAATTTTATGAACAAAATGCAGATCGCCTTTATTGTCCAATTGATATGAAATTTTCTATGTATCATTCTCCTCCATAACGAACTCTATAACGTAACGTTTCATCCATTTCATGAAACTGCTACTCTAATTGTAAATACTTTGTTTGTGTATTTGTTTGTATAAGACAGCGCTATTTGTATCATTTCTACAGTCACATTTTTTATTGAATTTTGTAAAAATAAGTAGTTTTGTAACATTAATGAAATCCGTTTCATATATTCAATGAAACCAAAAATCTTTGATATAAAAGCTACGTAAGTTTTCATTGCGTGAACAAATTCAAAAAAAAAAAACGAAAATAAATGTTTTAAGTACGCTTTTCTGCATGCAATCGGTGCGGAAACTTTTCTAACCCTAGGGGAAATGCTATAAGCTATGCTATCCCATGCTCTAAGCGGCTAATATTTATATGTGTATTTATACAAAATATAAGTTGTAACCCTACTGCACTACTACTGCAAATTGTAATAAAGACACACTTTGAGCTGAATGATCTGACTGCTTAAAGTATTCCTAAACAACGACGCGCGATGAGGAATTGTACAGTATAACAATAATAACAAAAAACTGACATTTTTCTTGATCATCTGTACTACAGTATTATATATTTTGTAAAGAATTTATAGTAGAAACATGGCTTTATATTTTTCTGTTTCTCTGTCTCCCTCTCTCTTTCAATACAAATTCCACATTTTGGTCAAGCACATGATGATGCTTTGCATATGCCCATTAGCATTCCCAGACAAACGAAAATATTTCATTAATATCCCATTCGGAAGGATGGCAGGCATGAGAGTGACAAAAAGCAAACCAGGAAAATGTGAAAGTGTAACCCTCAGTGAGAAGCAAAAAATCACAAGATAAAGTACCAAAGGACAATCAGTAAATGTACATGAAAAGTCATATGTGCAGTACGTATGTGCATATGTGTACATACATGCATCCATATGCTCTGTTTTACATACAGCAAAATGAAGTGAACCTTTAATGACAATTATACTGCACGAGGAAATGCGAAAAATAAATGAGGCGGAAACAACGAATAATTAATAATTGTTTTTCTTTGTCATTTCAGATCAATGGAAAAGTAATTTATATATTTCTTTGACAAATTACAGCGAATATAATTGGACATTGATTATCTCGTGGGCCCACTACAATGAGAGATGAGTTGAGTTAATGTTGAAATGAGTTAAATCTTCCACAGAAATTGAGAATTAATATGGAAATGGATTTTCAAATATAGGTTTGATAGGTAAATACTTCAGCTACTCTCTTCTTTTTCTGTCAAAACACATTATTGTTAATTAAAATTTATATAGAAAAACATTACAGTTTGGAAGCAACCACACGTGTTAAGCCCAAATATTCAAAATACATGAAACTTTTTTTTGTGTTTTCCCTTCATTGCATCGATTCCTCACATAAATACTATTGGCAGCACGGAAAAACAAGTAAAAAATCTGTAAGTTGGGACGGGCCATTTGGAACGAATTTGGCAATTTTCAAAAACAATAAAATCCGTTAAAAATTCTGTTAAAATCTTAAAAATACCGAATGTAACTGTTATATTAGGGTATATACGACGACATGGGCCTGCATAGGTATCGGTGAATAATGTCGCTAAAATCATCAAAATACCGAATGTCGGGAGGTACCGTTAAATGGGGGCTATACGAAGACGTTGGCCTGCACAGAAAATTTTCTGTCTTAGGCTGCAGTATCCATTTCGAACTTCAAATACCAAATTTGAAACAATTCCGGTGAATAATGTCGCTAAAATAATCAAAAGACCGAATATCGGGAGATACAGTTATATAGGGCTATACCAAAACATTGACCTACATGGCCCATTTTCAATGTCAAAAGTCCTGCAGACATAATATACATTTGAGTAAAATTTTATCAATTTACTTCATTTCGTTCGGAAGCTAGACAGACGGACATAGCTAAATCTAAATAGAATTTTATGTTGATCAATAATTTACTTATTTGGCAAATTGCTTGGCTTAAGGTCATTAAAAAAACTATGTTTTTTATTTTTGAATTTTTCCTTTTTTTATTCATCTAATATTTCGATTTCCTCCGGAAATCATCTTCAGGGATCTGTTTTACAAAAAACACAAATTACAAACTGATTTTACACTCAGAGAACGAAAGAAAAATACGCCACATATTAAGTCAAAATGATTTTCCAAAAAGCGCCATTGACGACCTAATTATACACGCAAAAACGGACCAAACAAAGGAGGCAAGACAAGAAAAGATATATAAAGCTGTTACTTACATCCCGGGATTCTCAGAAAGACTTGGTAAATCAAATATCTACAATAAGGACCACTATCAATTAGCGTTTAAATCCTGTAATAATGTCGACAGTCTGTTTAGTAAAACAAAATCTAAAATTAAGAAGGAGGACAAGTGCAATGTAGTTTATAGGATAACATGTAATGGGGACGACGCTGACGTATGCCAAAAGTCATATGTCGGCACGAAAAAGACTTTCCGGACATAAATCGGATCAAAAAAGTGACAAGCCTCTCGAACAGAAGACTGCTGTAGTTGCCCATTGCACATTGACAGGACATAAGCCCGACCTTAAAGCCGTCGACATATTAGCACAAGAAAATAATTACAAAAGACGATTTACATTGGAAATGTTACATATTATAAGTTTACCAAATGACAAACGAATTAATTATAAAACCGATACAGACCATTGTGCTCACATTTACAGAAGCCTAGTTCATAAACACCGACGAAAGAAAACTTAGTTTGATAGTGACATTTAAACTCAATAGACGAGCTTTTACTTTAAAAATGTATGTTATTTATTGTGTTATATATTGTTAAAATCAATTTGTAATTTGTGTTTTTTGTAAAACAGATCCCTGAAGATGATTTTTGATGATATTTTGGAATTCAACTGACTTTTTTCAAATATGTTCATGTTTCTTCCGTGCTCCGAAACCGCCCTTTTCAATAATTGGCGAGATTTATTTAGGCTATACGCCGCTATGTGCATTTGCCACCAGGGGACAATTCCGTTAAAATAAATTACAATTAATTC